GTCTAAGACTGGTGTAGTCCTGGGAAGTTTATAGAGAACCTCTGCTGCTGATAATCAGATAATTTATGAGTCTGATTTTTAGCTCCAGGAAGTTGGTGCTAAAAATAAATACTTAGCCTTTCATTTGCTTTTCTCGAGGACTTTTGTGGTGCTAAAATGTGACTAGACCTTGCACAGCTCTTCTTGGTGAGAGGGGATAGGGAAAACTCTACGAAGTCCCACTCTCTACCCCTTTCTTTCCAGTGGATGACCAGGAATTCCAGTCTCCATGCTCCATAAAGCATGGCTTTTATACACTGATGGGTTCTTGGACTTCAAGACCCACCTGCAAAAAGAGACAATGTGGGGGGAGGAAGGGTGGGCAGAAATGTGGCTGTGCCCTAGTCTTTCTGCAGCAGCTAGCACTGATCCAATGGTCACAACAGGGAGCACACCCAAAGATCCTAATCCTATGGTGCTCCCAGGACTGCCCTTGCAGCGATGCCTCTTAAGAAAGCTGCCTGTGCTTTTGTAACGTGCTCTACCAGTGGATAGACTACTTAAGACGAACCTCTTTTTCATGTAGGTATTTCTATAGGAAATGCTTAATTTTTTGCTTCTCATGTTATGAAATTGATGGAAGACTTGGTTGAATCATGCTGCCTAACTCTATATTGGTATGTCATTATGCCCACAAGGCACCAGTGCCACAGCCGCTTTCAAAACATTAGCTTTTTGCAGATATTGTTGCCTGGAAGAGGGAGTGTGGTCTTGACAAAGCCTTCTCTGGAAGCAGTGAATCACAAAGCAATGAGCCACAGGAAAGGTTAATCTGAAAACTCAAGGTGCGCAAAAAAGATGGCACTAATGTTTATCTCCCTGCCATAGGAACGGTGCCCACAATAGCCATCTGTGGAAAATGGAGATATTCCAGCTTGTGGAAGGCACCACAACAGCACTCTGGTGAATTAATCACACACTGTTTGAGGCCTTCACCTCACACGTGGGATGCATTTCGTGTCTCTCGGATATTCTACGCTGAAAGCTGCGTGCTGAGATACTGTGGACTTCTTTCTGTGCACAGCAGCCATGAACCTTTCTCATTTATTTTTCAGTCACAGGGGAGGATTATTTTCAGAACAACAGAGTCTGAAATTTAAATTTGTGCAGGTTTTAAACAGGCTGATATTTCTGAAGTTTTTTACGCTCTCTGATATTAGGAGATTAGTTTGAGACACGATCTTTCGATCCTCATAAAGGTTTAATGTTATTTTGTAGCTAAGCTGTTAATAATTAGCTAGAGATTTTATAGATATACGTATATGGTTTCCACTGAGATTTTAAGCTAAGGAGTGATTTCGTATACCCTTTGTATCCCAGTCCAGATGTTCAAGTCCTATTTCCCTACGTTCCAACAGATGGATGCCAAAAATTTAGGGAAATTTACACTGTTTCTCAGTGTAGTATGTATAATATACTGTATTATTGAGCTAGGAGGTAGAAGAGTGAAGACTGTTGTCCCAATTTCTTTAGCTATTTCCCTCACTAGCAACAGAAAGCACTTAATTCTTAAGGTCTAATGGTGAGAATTCTCCAAGGGAGCATTATTTTTTCCTCTCCCAGGCCAAGTATGATGCAGCTGACTAATGCTAAGTCCCTCCTGATTAATTTAATGGTAGCTAAACAGTGCAGAAATAGTGAGAAGCCACCAGTTCTTCTGATAACACTGCCTTCTCTATGTCTGCAGTAATCAGCAGCATGCTGTCTAACATATAAAAGTCTCTAAATTAAACAAGCATTTCAATTTTCCTTTCTGACTAATAATTTTCCTTTTTTTTTTTTTTTTTCCAAATCCAATGATTTGAGTGCTAGACTTTCAGAGCTGCCTGTTATTTGCATATCTGAAAAATAACATGATCTAAGTAATGGTAATATGAAATGAATATATAGATGGATCTAGAAAAGACATTTTGGCTTAAAGAGCCAAGAAAAGTATGATATTTGCAATATGTAAGGTAGCGCTAATTTTAGTGATACTATTCAAATTTAATGCTATGCACACACTTTTCTGGATCAGGGTGTCTAACCCAAAATGTTTTAATGATGTCAGATTAAAGCATTAATTTCCTTAAATCTGAAAAATACTGTAAACATTTTGCACCAGAAACTATAACTTTGAATTTCCTGACCTTTGAGCTTGTTACATATCACGTGTGTCTTCACCCACATGAAATGCAGATGAATTGTTGTTTATTTCTTGAAAAGTGATGGGCAAAGCAACCATAGTTCCAATCTTAGCAGCTTAAATTTTCTGGTTTTCCCTGCACCATCTCCAATTTGTCTATGTCTGAACAAATAGGCAGTTGGAGATGACGTAAAAATGATACAGAGGTTTAGAAAACATGACCTGAGAGGAAATACTAAGAGGATTGAATTTATTTTGTTTAGAGAAGACTGAAAAATGATACGCTAAAAGGTTGCAAGTACAGAGAGAATAGAGTGCTTAATTGCTCTTCACAACAAATAAAGATACAAAAAAAAAAAAAATTATGGGCTATTTTTCAGCATAGAAGATGTGGAAAAAATTTCTATCATCTTGCTGATATAGATGAGAAGTCCCTCTTACTGGAGATCTTGAGAAACGGGGTATAGAAGTGTCTTTCAGGGATACTCTTGTTTCTGCTTCTGAGGAGAGCTGGATCAAGAGACTACTGAGAAGCCCCAGCCCTACAATTCCCAATCACTCTGTCCACAGTCCCAGGAAGGAATTTTTTAATCTCTTCTTCTTCTTTCACCAGAATGTCTATTAGCTAGCTTTTCCATTTCCTCTTACGAGCAGTAAAGTACTCCTTTCCTCTCAAGTGACAAGTGGTTTTTGTCCCCATCAAAGCTCATTTCCAAGTGTAGGGGGAAAAAAAAGCCTAAAAAGGATGATGCTTTCTAATTTTACTCACTCACTGATACAATATTTACTGTTTTAAAATAAAATGCCTTCCATATTGTAGAAAAAAATAGGAAGAGGATATTTGCTTGTTGATTGCAAAACTCTAATGTTTTGCAAATGCTTTTGAATCAAGGTTGGCAGTACAGCACTGAAACAAGTATAGTTGGACCCTTTCTCAGGATGTCAAGTGCGTGGCTGAAGTGACTGGAGTCAAAGTGGAGATTAGATATTAGGGAGAGTCCAGAGAGTCCAGCTTGCAAGTCCTCTATTCTATTCACCAACCACATTCCTGTAAAGTGGAAGGTGTGTCCTTTTAATTTTTTAATTTTTTTTTTTTTTTTTGAGAAGTGGACACAGACTTTTAAAATCTTGACAGCTACTAAGAGTGGTTTTTTGCATCATATATCGTGGAAAAAGTCAAGTCCTCATCTGCACAGTAAATGTTAGCAGCAGGGTTAATTGCGAGGATATAGGGTGTCTTTCAAGGTTTGCAAGACAGCTATGCTCTTGGAGATACTGCTTTCAAAATGCTCTGGTGCTACCTCTTTGAAAACAGCCTTTGGCTGCAGAGTGCTACTATTTAACAGGTTTAACATTACCAAAATTTGAGATGCTGATGCCATTATTAAATTTCATTCTGCACACAAGCAAACAGTTTATCATAGTCTGTTCCCAGCAATTGTAATCCAATTTTTGTTATCTTACACTATTTAAAAAAGAGAGAGAAAGATACTGTACATCAATCTGATAAAAATGTTTAAATAACTGGTGCTTTTTTGTGATTATGTCGGTTTTATAGCAGCATTATGGAAACACGACAGGGTAACTAAAATCTGATTACGTCTAAGTCCTTGCCCATTATGTGATTATTATGAACCATGACTTCTACTGGCACATTATGAATTACATGGTCATAATACAAGGGATTTCCAATATAATTAACTGAGATTAGCAGCACTAGAGAAATCTGGGAATAATGATACAACTTTGAACAATCAGTTTTACTGTAAATGCTGCTAGCTCTGGCTTCCAGGAAACAGGAGGCTGGTGGATGTAACCACGACCTACCTGCTGCGATTTCCTGCATCTCCTTTCTCTTCCCTCCCCCCATGAAATTAATTGCAACCTTACCAGAGTACTAGGAGCTCCCTCTTATACTCTTTTATTCTCATATTATACTGATAAAACTCAAGGCTGGCTAAGATTTTCAGAAATGTCAAAAGGTCTTTAGATACCACATTTTAGGGGACTCAGCCTGAAACTGGAAAGAGCTCTGCTTTTGAAAACATAGAAATATCCACTTATTGAAGAAAAGATCCATTTAAGACAGCTCAAGTTTGACCACTTAAAGGCAGAAAGTCATGAAAATCACAGATTAGTTTCAAAGATCATAGCCAAGGTCATATTATTTCTTTAGTATCTCAGGCAAGCAAGCAATAAGTCTTTCTTTCCACAAAAGCCCAGCTTTTGGACTCAGCTGCTGAAGAGAAAGCCATCTATGTGCAGAGGGGGTTGCTCACTACTGAACCTGTCCTTTCTCATGCAGAAAGAAAAGGATTTCTACAGAGATCCAGTGGCCATCTTCTGGCTTTAGAGTAAAAAGGGAAACAGTGTGCACGAGCTGTAGGGGAAAATAAGACACTAAACCAGACCTTTTGTTTAACCAGAGGATTAAACATTTCACCCAGTAGTGCATGGACAGCTGGGGTAGAGTGGGACCTCCCCTGATTGTTGAGATGTCATTTGTTCCTGACAGAGCTGGGATTACAAAGAGGAAATTTTTTTTTCACTCTATGGGACTTCAACTGTATTTATGTATGGAGGAAATTGAAGACTTAGAGAAAAATATAAGATCACCTGCGATCTTTTGGTTCAGTCTAGTGCCTCCCTCCTTCTATGATTTATTTATAGCTCTTAATTTTTAGATTTCCTGTGAAATTGCATCTCACGGATTTCATTAAACCCTACACACCCCAGGTTTGTGCTCCTTGTTCACTTTGGTATTATTACACCTAGTCAGTACAACGACCGCCTTCATTTACTTTGCTGTGGTGATCGTACTCCTTTAACCACATACCTCCAGTGCTGTTGAGAACCGCTCCACTGCTGCTGTGTAGTTGTTCTCCTTGTAGCAAGCACTGGCTTCCTCGAGGGTCGCCTGGAGCTCTTTGTCAATGGAGGGCAAAGTCCTGCCCTTAGTTGTGCTCCAAGCACATGCTTTTTCAGAATCACGACATGCCGATGGAGTGTTTGTACAGACCACAGGCTCAGCAAACTCGAAGGAAATGTCCTCCTCTTCAGTGTATACCAACTCCATTTCTACTTCCATTAGGCTTTGTAGAGGAATATGAGGCAGATGTGTCGGCATTGACTGATTCCCAGTCTCTGACATTGTGCCTTCTTTTTCCGCAGCTATTTTTTCATAGTTTTCTGATTTCCGTTTACGGCTTGCTCTGTTTACATCATTACTTGATTTTGCCGCCTTTTTCTCTGCCATTTTTATTTTCTCCATTGCATTTTCAGCTGCTCTATCTCCAAGGTGTTTTTTGATCTCTTGCAATGTTTCTGGAGTATCATTCAATTTGTGTAGTGATACATATGGCACCTTACAAATACGCATTTGCTGGGAGATTTCATTCTTGCCACTCATGCTTATGAGAGAATTTTCGAAGTAAATGTTGTTTCCTGATGGCATAACTTGACCAAAGACAGAGCCCTAGGAGAAAATGTAGAAAAGTTAAGAATACTCGGATATTGCAAAGCCAAAAAAAGCACGCAAATGCTTTCTCCACTAGGCATATTGTAGGCACCATTATGAGAGAAAAATCTGCAATATTTAGTACATAGAATATCAGACTCGCTGTAATTACTTTCTCTTTCCTGTGTAAAAGTTTAAGGCCCCTTAAATATTTTTGATAGCTCTTGATAATGGATGTTTATTTACGTAAAGTAATGCCAGCGTACTAGTTTGTAACATCTGCAACAAGAAGGGAAAATCTTTTAGGCTTTTAATCAAAAGAAAAACAACCAAAACCCTGTGACTGATTGACTCATGCTGTATTTTATTATAGGGTGCAAAAAATCACTGTGGCCTGATTTTTGTGAGCTGGTAAGCACAGTGCCTGAGGTCAGAGAGAGGGTGTTCAAATATCAGGCAGGGTGGATGTATTCCAGAGGGGCATGATCTCCAGGTGGGGTCCCTGCTTCAGCTGCATTTCAGCCAAATTCAGATCTGGATTTGGGTTTCAAAGCCATTTCTTATTGAACTGTCTGCAAAGGACATAGGAGTGTTGCTGCTAAGAAGCAACCCTCCCCTAGTAGTTAACAGCCTAATTCTCAGTTCAGGGAACTGGTAGTGGGTTCAAACTGGTACAACAAGGTACAGAATCAAGCTCATAAGCATCTTCTCAACACCACTTCCCATACAATAGGAAAGTTGACTTGATCTGCATTGTAAACTCATAATTGTGTTCAGATTCAAAGGAAATGCTGTTTTTCATCTGCCTATGCTGACTTCAGAGTGAAAAGGTGGAAGGCAGAGGTAATTATCTTCTCAGTTTTTCCATCAATTATGAAAAGTTTAATTGTAAATAGTTTTAAGGATGATTGTCTTTCAGAATGGTTTGTTAAGCATAAACACTCAGTCTTTAACCTTGTGTTATTGTTCAACAGACCTCCATATGTTTAGCACCAGTTTAATGTACTTAACTACAGGTACAGATTGTACAAAAGAAAGATACATAATAAAAGCATTTCTGTTCATCCAGAAATGGATTTTAAACAATAAGCAACTTGTTGAGTTTTAGTGAGGGCCCTACAGTTTGCACTACTGCACTCATAGAAGTGTCATTTCTGCTGGAACGCGTCCTGGATGGTGTGGTATGGTGAACCTTTACTGTTTAGGGCAATGGGCACTAGGCAATGGGCAGAAATTTATAGAATGGTGTAAAGGGAAGACGTGAAGGCGTTTGAGGCCATATGAGAAGCTGGTACTGAATTTTAATGTAAATAGGCTTTCAAATCTTTGTCCTGTCTTTCCCTGCTCCTCTGGCTAAGCCGGATTGCCGCCAGGACTGTCACCAGCCCTGAAGCAGAAAACTTGTTGATTTTGACATTTGTTCACAATCTCCAGGCTGAAAACTTTACTGTGGCAGAACTGCCTGTGGAGAAACTTATCCTTCCTTCCACGACTGCAAGAGAAGGAGCGAGAGGTGAGGGGATAATTGTGTGATTTAAGGTAATTTCAGCAGGCGTTTTTCAGCAATGTGCTGAGCAATCACAACTCCTACTGAGTTCAATGGGGATGGAAAACCACTGGCCCTTCCTAGATAGTGCTCCGCACTTGTCAGAATAGAGCTCAAAGGAATCATATTTATAGCAAGCTATTTTGAATGGCAGCAGTAAAGCAGCTGGAAAAGGCTAATGCACTTGCATCTGGCAGCAATTTTACCTGTTTGTAAGACATTCAATCCCTTTTTAAAACAAACCATAGCATAGCCTAAAGATTGGAAGCAGCATTTTTCAGTGCTGGCTTCAGCACTAGGTAATTTAGGAAATTATGATTTATCTTCACTGTACAGCAGAGCAGAGATACTCCAGCCAGACCCAGCACCAGCTGAGGGGATGAGCCTGATGATCTTGGTGCCAAGTCCTGCCAACATAACTGTCACATGTGGGACCTGGACCTCCATGTGGCCCCACAGTATATGGGTATACCATGTTCTGGAGGAGGAATACAGGACTTTCACAGCCTCTTGAGTGGTCTTCTAGAACTCTAGAAAATAAGATTAAGGTGTCTACATCAGACACAAGTTTGCTGGAATTTTCCCCTGAGCCGCCATGTAGTACCGAGGAGCCCTCAAGGAGAATTAGTGGACTCTTCTCCTCACCAGAGAGCAAACAAAGGCAAAGCCCTATATCTGTTAAGGGGTTGATATCAGTGTGAATGGGAAATTGGCTGGACTAAACTGTTTTCTGTGAGACTGTCTTAAAAATTTTAAAACAATTTACCACGGAATAAAAAATGCAGACCACAAACCGTGAAATACAGACCAATAATTCTTTAATCACTACAGACATTTCTCTGGTGGACCACCACCTGAAACGATCTTTGCAGTATCACGTGGATTTATACTGTCTCCATTGTATTTTTAGGTATTCAAGCTGATTAACATGACTTTGGGTTGCGCAATGGAAGCATGTTATAACTCAGGCAGGCTCACTTTAATCACTGCCTCAATAAAAAAATCCACTTCCAGGGAAAAGCTTTTAGAAAATCATTATCTTTGTCAGTTAAGTATTTTCCTGAGACTTTGGTTAAAATGTCTGGTTTTTATTTTGGAAGTGTTTGCTGTAAAATGCTTCTAATGAATCGCTATGCAGAGGAATATAGACAGACAATTTAGCGCTATGGTCAGAAGGAAACTACTCTAAATATGTGAACTCTCGGGAATGATCTTTCTGATCAGTAATAAGCAAGTTCAGCTTTCTGCATATTTGAGGGTTAATCTTTGCTGAGAGATGTCTGTCCATGGCACTACCAGCTACTACAGCTAAGTATTTTATTGGATCCATTGGTAAGGAAACCACATCTCTTCGAGAACAGCGCTTACCCCCCAAAAAATATGAATGCAAAAGGAAAATAAGTTCATTTATCTTTTAAAATCTTCCGGGTTTGTCTGTTGATTTCCAAACATATCTAAGAAAACCTTCTTGGGGAGAGTGGCCTGCCTACTAGATAACGTAAACTTTTTTATGTGCATGGTCTTATGAACCCTATTACTTATGCTTTTTGTTCTGTATCTAGTTTGAATCTGCTTTCTACATCTCCTATTATCTCACATCAGATTAGAGAAGAACCTGCTGATAAATCGCACTGGCACTTCAGCTGGAACCTAGTTGTTAAATTCTTTGCCAGTTCTTTGATGAGCCCTTTTTCTTCAGAATTTAAACTTTTGATTTCAACCAAAAAAGGTTTTGCCCTTACAGTTGTGAAGTAAAACCTTTCTAAACACCAAAGACGGCAGTGCTATCTTCCTGAATCTACATGTAGCAAGGCAGAATCACTGGGCTACTTCAGCATTGATTTAAGTGGAGTGACATGAGAGAGGGATTTCTTCTGGCAATTCTCAGAGGGGATTAAGCTGCCTTGAAACTGGACCATTACGTTGCCATTACCAGCTCTTCGGGGCATGAATTCTGTGGGGCTGTGCTTCAGAAAAAGGTAAAAATTTCAGTAAAATCTTTCAGCAGAGAGCACAAGTCACTGCTTCTGAAGATCAGAGTTGTCTTTTATGGCAGAGGCTATGGAGGAAGAAGCAAATTCAAGGAGAGATTTCAGCCCAGAGAGATCTCTGAACAGTAAGTTGAAGTTAAAGCATCCTAGCTGCTGAATTGTAAGAAACAAGTAGTGGCCCAGCTTGCTGACTCCCCAGTCTTGGCCTGCTGGATAATACCCTTGCATGGTTCAGAGGTCTAGGGGGATGATGTGGCAGCTAGGTAGTAGAAAGGGGACCCGATCATTTAATTTCTTACTCTGAAGCAGGTTCCTTACACTGACCATTCAACAGCAGAATGGACTCATGCTCTGACACTGAACATGCCCCATAAGCACCTTGCTAAAACTCAGAGACAAATTAGGCATCAGATCTGGAGACAGCAATAATTCTCCCTCTCGTGACCCTGATCAGAACTGGCAGAGATTTCTGTTGTCACTGTCTTGTTTTGTTTTTAATTCCTCTGCAGCATAAGGTACAAGCTGCCTCGTTCAGGATGGTCTGGCTGTACCTCATCTGCTGTCCCAGAAGCTCTAGTCATTAGTGGTCCATCTGTATTTTGTGCTTTCTGCTGTGAATGTTCAACGCTGCGCGGTTTCTAGAGGATAACGTTGCAACAGTTTTCAGCCAGAGCATGACTGTATCTGCAACACACATGCATTTTGTGCACAGATACCCCATCTGTCTTTCAGTGAGCTCACTTGTGTACTGGCAACCATAACCATATAGTTGTGTTAGCCTGATACCCCACCCAGGCTAACTCACCCTGCTATAAGACACATATAATGACAACTGCCATATTAATATTCTACTTAGACAGTGATGGGACTTTTCCAGAAAGTTATAAGAGCTGAACTCTTCCATCTATAACAGTCTTTTTCTCCCAGAAGGCCATTCGAAATCACAGGGCAGTCATCTGCTACAGTTCATTTCAGTGTAAATGTTGGAACAGGCAGAACTGCATCCAAAACTATGGAGCAAGTATAAGAAAATTATACCGCTGGTACTTGTACAAGGGTTATCCCACTCCTTCAATGTCCTCTGGTATAGAGAGAGAAATATACTACTGTAACAAAACATATCGAAAGCCCCACAACAGATAGGTCATTAGCTGCCCTCCCCTATAATAATTTCACTTATATTGAATTCTAGATATCCTGATCCATCTCTAAGGTGAGGATGCTCCAGTTTTATCACTTAAAAATGAAGCAAGATTTATCTGTCTTAGATTTACAGACAGACTTTCTGAATGAGCATGTGCGCTGACAACAGCCATGCCGAGATCTGAACTGGAGATTTTTCCAGTCCATCTTTCAGCGGGATGACTTTTTAAGCACTTCCTTTACTGCCGAATACCACAAAGGCTCAGACAATCTATTGATGACGAAGGTCAGCACCTTCTTAGCAGCCCATAAAGTGAGTCTCTCACAATCAGGTTTCA